CGTCCAACCCTCCCTCGGCCCCCCTGCCCAGCCCAGCCCTCGGCCCCCTCGTCCAACCCTCCCTCGGCCCTCTGCCCCAGCCCAGCCCTCGGCCCCCTCGTCCAACCCTCCCTCGGCCCTCTGCCCCAGCCCAGCCCTCGGCCCCCTCGTCCAACCCTCCCTCGGCCCTCTGCCCCAGCCCAGCCCTCGGCCCCCTCGTCCAACCCTCCCTCGGCCCTCTGCCCCAGCCCAGCCCTCGGCCCCCTCGTCCAACCCTCCCTCGGCCCTCTGCCCCAGCCCAGCCCTCGGCCCCCTCGTCCAACCCTCCCTCGGCCCTCTGCCCCAGCCCAGCCCTCGGCCCCCTCGTCCAACCCTCCCTCGGCCCTCTGCCCCAGCCCAGCCCTCGGCCCCCTCGTCCAACCCTCCCTCGGCCCTCTGCCCCAGCCCAGCCCTCGGCCCCCTCGTCCAACCCTCCCTCGGCCCTCTGCCCCAGCCCAGCCCTCGGCCCCCTCGTCCAACCCTCCCTCGGCCCTCTGCCCCAGCCCAGCCCTCGGCCCCCTCGTCCAACCCTCCCTCGGCCCTCACCTCCAACCCATCCCTTAGTCTTCTGCCCCCAGCTCCACAGCCATCCCACCCCGTACCCTTCAGAGGTAGGAGGCTGTGAGACGTTATGTTAGCAAATGTACAAAGATCACTTATCACGGCAGACTTGCTAACGCAGCCTTCACGGCAGCCAGAAGGAAGGGTGGTGAGGGGGTGCTAAGTCGCTACCCTTCCAGCTTGTGACCATCATTTCATAGAAACGTGTTTGCCCGCATTTAAAATCGGTGTGTAAGGTCGTCCGTGTGCAGACGAGGGCTACGTGTAGCATTTAAAAGAGGGTCACAGGTACAAAATGAGGCTGTAATCTCTAAGGGGGTTTGCACGTGCAGGCTGGTGGGGGGAAAGGGGCTGCCAACCCTGTCGGCGGGAGCGATACGCAGCGCGCTATGTGCGAAGGGCGTGGCCCAGGCCATGTGACTTAACACAGGATTGGATGAACCAATAAGGAAGTCGATTCAGAACGGAAAGGCTTTTACGTGGGCACAAGGATTGAGGCCGAAAAGCCAAGAGGATGTCAAGAAAAATAAAGATAAAACGCTTCCAACTTCGCAAACCGGGCTTGACCGAAAGTGAAGCTTTTACTGCGTCTTTTCATCAGCGCCGCTGACCAAACTTTTCCAGCCAGGGCCCCTCCGCCAGAGCCCAGCGGCGGTTTCTTCTGTCTTCGGCGCAAAGGGGGTGATGGACGGGCAGAGCGATCCCGTGGCAGGCAGCTCCCCTCAAACGGTGCTGCACAGCCGAGCCCATGACGGCGAGTGAGGAAAGACGCTTCCGGCGGTTTTTTGTCGCCTGCGTGCGCCACGGCCGATTTCCTTTGTCTCTTTTCTTGTCTCTCTTGCAGGCGCAGGGCTCTGTGCCAGTCTGTAGCCAGCTGGGGTAACCACACAGCCCTTTCTTTGAGGCTCACTTGACCGGTTGTGCCATATCGGGGATTCATGAGTTTGAACAGGTCCCTTTAAGCTGGGGCGGTTGGGGGCGGGGGGATTTCATGGCTTTACACACAGTGTTACTACAGCCTTTCTCCATGATACTCTTGACTAGGGATGGTTAGTTTTCAGATGCTGCTGTGCAAGGCGCATTGGGGACAGTGACAATAAGGAGGGGTACGGTGTGAGTCCGGGGGGGATTCAGTCACTGGGCTATATTATCACCATGGGCTCTCTGATCCATCGGTGGGGGTGGGGATTTGGGGAGCAGGAGAGAGAGCTGCTCTCTCGAACTCCCTCAGATTTCAGTTCATATATTCAGCTAGAAATTACCTGAGATCTGGATGGTCAGCTGCTTGCTTGGCCGCCCCCTCTCCCAGCCTACGGAGCCCTTCCTGCCTTTGCCCCATCCTCTGTTCAGCCGTGACTGTTCCTGCAACCCCTTCCATCGCTCCAGTGCCCCAGGCTCTCACCTGTCTCCTGGGACTGACCCACTACTACATCAGGCCCAAAGACCCACATGGTTCCACCGGGGTAGGCTGGAGGCCTCGAAGACCAGGCCTTCAGCACCAGCAATCTCCTCCCCTTTCCACAGGTCTCTGCCATGAGTCCAGCCAAGCCAGACTCCTGCGGGAGACTTGTCCAGTGCCCCCTTAGGGCAGGGATCTCTGGGCATATTACAGTGACACATGGGTCCCAGTCACCAGTCACCCACAGAGCCTGGGGCAGCACAGAGGCAGGAGTTAAGCCACAGTCCAGTCTGCCTGGCTTGCTCTCTCCGTGCCCCCGGTGCACCCTTCTCGTGGGCTGAAATCCCTGGCGTGTGGCCCTGCAAGCCCCACCGGGATATCTGATAGGAGAAGCCACCCTGGTGCCCGAAGAGCCAAGCCGGGTACTGCATCCGGAACAGGAACTTGAGAGGAGAAATGTCCGAAATGGGCCCTGAGCAGGCAGCTGGCTCTGACCACTACCACCCCTGTTCCCGCTGAACCGAGCCAAGGAAGAGGTACGCCCCATTGCCCTAAAACTCTCCAAGCAGCAAAGCAGTGGCGAAGGGATGCAAGGGGAAGAATTGTCCAGCCGATTTGTCACTGAGGAACCTCCCCAGCCCTGTCCCTGTCTGCAGCTGGAGATGCCACAGACGCGTTTCACACAAGAGCCCAGAGTTGATTGGCTCAGGTTTGATCACCCAGCACTTTGCGAGCCTGCGCTCCCTGGCTTGGCCTAGCGGTCGGATCTCTGGGGGACCCCGGGAGTGGCTGGCGGAGCCCCAGGGAGTGGCTGGCTCCCAGCCTGCATGTTCCTTGCATGTGAGAAGGCAAGGGCTTTGCCTGCTCAGACAGGCAGCCTTCGAGGTGGGGCAGGGAACCGGGCCAAAGTGTGCCAGCTAGGGACATAGCGATGCAGTATGTCACGCATGCGGGCGCTGTGACTGGAGAGCAGCGAGGCGTTTAAAGCTACTCGGCGGAAACTGACTAATGCCCTTGTCTCCATCCCATGCCAAAAGACGGGATGCTGAGCTCCTTCCGCTTCCCTTCTCTGGCCAGAGCGCCAGCCCTGCTATCACAAGCCGAGGGAGTTAATCACTCACACACAGGCAGGCCCACGGGTGGGGTGTGGCTCTGGCATTTGGGGAGGCCGAGAGCTAGAAGTTCCCCCAGCACCAACTGTGGCCCTGCTCCCTGCTCTGCCCCCTCTCAGCCACCTCCCCAAGGCTCCACACCAGGCCCCACACACTTAACCCCTCACCGCCTCCAATGTGGCCCAAAGGTCCCCCCTCTTGTTCAGTCATTACGCCCCCTCCCCAGGACCTCAGCACCCACTCGCCACATCCCTCGTCTCCTCCCCCCCCGCCCCAACCCCCCCCCCACTGGCGGAGTCTCTCCAGCTCCCCATGGAGAAGAGCGACTCAGCGAGCACCTCAGGAGCTGGGGGTGGAGGACAGGAGGGCTCGGGGTGGAACATGGATGAGAAGAGGCAAAGCTGGGGTACAGCTATGGGGGGGAGTGGGAGGGGCAGGCAGCCCCACCACAACCCAGGCATCTGTGATCACAAAGGCAGCAGGTCGGTGGCTGCGCCATAGGGGAGATTTAGCCTCCCCTGGCCTATCGCACCCATCCCTCGCCTATGTTGCCATGGCAATATGGATCCCGGCCCTGGCAGGGCCTTGCGTTCTAAATGGGGGCCAATGCTGCCGGCGCGCAGAGCCGGGCCGGCAGCCGCCCAGGGGCGTGGGCAGGCTGGGCTGGCATTCAGCGCCCAGCGGCATGGATGTATCAGAGTCACGAAAGCAGCCAACGGCCTTCCTCAGCAGGCTTGCACATCCTCCCCCCCGAGCCAGGCAGGGAGCCGCCAAGAGCAGCCATTCTCAGGGACCAGGAATGCTCAGAACCGGCCCTGGGGGCATGTAAAAGACCGGGGCCAACCCCAGCAGCTGTGGGGAGCTGCCCCATCCAGCAGCGCATCCCTGTGTGCCCACACGCTGCGCCCGGGGACAGGCATCCTCAGGGAGCGAAGTGGACGGTCCAGTCCAGGCCTGGGGAGTTTGGCTGGGTTTCAGCACGGCTCCCTTTGACCCCACAGCCCCCTGATCCAGGTAGATCCGTGGGGCTGGCTGAGAGCAGCTCCTCTCAGAGGTGCCTGTCTGGGGGCACATGCCCAAAGGCCAAGGGCGTTCTCAGCAGGGCTGGCCACGGGCACCCAGAGACCCACCCCCTCGCCAGCAGAGTCCCCACGAGGAAGCGCGTCCTGTTGCTAACCCAGCTGGCAGGCAGAGGCTTTGTGGGGGGCCGGGGGG